TCCGAAGCCGGCTGTAGCCTCCCTGCGGGGAAGGGGCACCCACCGAGGCGCAGCGGCTGTGACTGCCGGAGGGAGGCAGGACGCAGCACAGCCTGTGAGGCCTGGCGGCGGGGTCTGCCAACTGCTCGGCACGTTGGCGGCTGTTGGCTGTTAGTTTTGGGGTCGCGGTGGTCTGTTAAAACCGAGGAAGCCAAAGAATCTCTTCCAACGAAAAAGCCGGGCGCTTCTGTTCTTTCTCCAGCAGAGCCTTCGCCACCTCCCATTTCTAGCGCCTTTAAAGAGCCGCCGAACTTCTAAACCTGAATGATGCTCCCTACGTCCCTTCCAGGTGGAAGAAGTTCACCCCCTTCCCTGGCCGCAGTCTGCTCCTACCCGGACTCCGCGGCAGCCTCGGGATTTCTTGGGGGAGATAGGATTGGGAAGGAGCAGAAACCGGGCGGTGAGGGCAGCCGGGGCGGAGGCAGCAGCTTGACGCCAGACTTGGGAGGATGCGCAGCGCAACAAGTGCCTTCCAGCGTCTGCCACCCCCTAACACGCGCGCGACCCGGTCTTCCCCGAGCAAGTCACCACCACGCGGATGCTTTCCACCTCCAGCCCAATGGGTGTGGGGAGGTGTAGGGGTCATCCGGCATCGCCCCAGACGGTCTATCTTTGGTCCCTGGAGACAGATTTCCAGGGACCAAAGGCTCCTGCCGAGGCCCTGGTGGCCAGGACACCCACCCCCTTTGGCCAGGGCGATCTTCGGTTTTCCAGGGGAGTTGTCTCTTTCTGATTCCCAAGAGCCAAGTTCCTCTTCCATGGCGCTCCCCCGAGTGGGTGTGGACCCCCTGGGAGTGGGGACAGGCTGAGCTCCGCAGTCCTCCTTACTAGATGCGATGACAAACCCAGGCAAGGAGAGGCGTCTCCTGCTGCGGGCACCGGCTGCTGGCAGAGGCGGGCTCTGCTGGGTTCTCTCCGCCGGCGGCAACGAAGGTGCCCAGAGAGGGAAAGAGGTCCTCCCTCCACACTGTCACGTCCAGTGCTTTCTCCTCTGCGCACCTTCTGAGCACCCCGACTTGAGAGGTGAAGATCCTCGAAGGAAATGAAATTAAACTCATGTCTACACTGTATTTGCAAGGGGCCCACGGAGGGACTTGGGGTCTCCCGGCACCGACTCCCGCCATGGCCCAGCGGGAGCGTCAGTCGCCCCTTCCGCGTGCCTGGAGCGCTTCCCTGCGTTCCTGGGCGATGGAAACCTTCTGGTTTCTGCCTTCCCCGCAGCTGATGGCCGTGGGACACCTGGTCACTTGACCTCAACTGCAAACATCCCAAATGGGGAGACTGAAATCTTTCCCCATCCACGCTCCTCTCCCTTTCGAACAACGGGGACGTCCAGATAGTTTTCCTAAACTCACAACCCAGAGGCCTGGCAAATAGGAGCGTGAAGAAATGACACGAGGCGCCCCAGGTGACACTTCGCTCGGGCTTGCACCACCGAGGACCAGGGCAGGGCGGCTTGGCGGGGTCCGGCCCAGGAGCCTTCCCTCGCCTCCCTTCCAGAGAACTTAATCCAATTAGCCCTTCTTGTGAGCCTCCCTTGTTATGTAAAGGTCCTTGCTGCCCGGCCGACGGAGAGGGGCGCTCCCCGGAGCAGTTCGATTCTGCTCCTTTCCCAGCAGATCGCGCGCGACCAGGACCACGAGCATCACTATTGTCATTTCCTTCCGAAAGGGCTCCAGCGGCCGTTTCGAAGGAGTGCGGGGGCCACGTCGGGGGCGTCCAGGATCAGAGAGGCGGGCGAGCCGGGCCTCCGTCCTCTCTTCTTAAAAGGAAAATCCCCGCCAAGTGCCTCGGGCCGGGGAGGACAATTTTGCAGGGTCCGGGCTCTCGTGGTGGCCCCGGGGCCACTTCAGCGTGACCTCGGGAAACGTGCCCCTTTGTTCCGCGCACCGAGCCGGTAATATATGCCTCCAGTTTTCCCAAAATACTCCACAAGTGGGGGGCTCACACAATGGCGCTCGGGGGAGGGGCCGGACAGCCGGCGCG